CACTTGGCTGATCCACACTACGTCTGTACTTTAGGTTTATTATAATAACACTCACTACACTTATAAGGTTTCACGCCCCCACCCCATCCCTTACGGCCTCCTTGCACCCTTGTCAGTGAAATCGTAATGAGCAGACAGTAATCGAACTATTCTATCTAGATAAATGCATTTTGACTTTTCGAGAAATCAAGTGTGACGTGACACACACTGGCTTTTATATAGGGTAGCTAACAGTTTTGTAACAACAGGTTTTTAAAGACTTCGGACATTAACGACGCAAAAGAAATGAGCCATACTACCAAGACCATATTCTATAACAGTAAAAGCATGTACTTATTTCTCCCATTGAAATAAACTCAAAATGAAAATGTCTTGTCTTCATCCTCCTTTATCATACGTTCATATACGTAGACAAATTTATATACGTGAGAATATTTTTTATTTTCTTTACTTGTGTGGAGAAGACTGAAATCACGTAACTAGCAATTTCTCAAAATACATTTTTTCCTTCACAGGTTAACACTCAAAAATTGAAAACAACAACAAAAACCGCCATTACCTGTTATCTTTGCCCCCCCCCCACCCTCATGGCACAGCGGTATATGACTTACAACGCTAGAAACCGGGTTTTGATACCCGTGGTGGGCAGAGCACAGATAGCCCATTGTGTAGCTTTGTGCTTAATTACAAAACAAACAAACTGTTATATTAGTTGGAGCCCCTGGTGTTCCTTTGCGGAACCCTATAAGTTCCACGAAACTCGATTTGAAAAACCATATGCCCTAAATGATTTCAACTTCATATTAATTTCTCATCTTTAAAATTTTCTTACTATTACTAAATCTCGCAAAGTGATATTTTTGTTTTATTTACTGGCCACTGGTTGTGCGTTTTCCCCCACAATTATAAGTGTTAAAACTAAATTTTGCAAAGTGAAATTTTATTTTATTCACTGGCCACTGGTTGTGCGTTTTTTCCCACAATTATAAGTGTTAAAACTAAATCTTGCAAAGTGACATTTTATTTTATTTACTGGCCACTGGTTGTGCGTTTTTCCCACAATTATAAATGTTGAAACGTTTTATAGGGAAACTGGAGAAGTTTGTAAGTTCTTCCCAATATATCAAAATTACGTTGTATTAATTCTCCCAAATAAGTCTTACGTTGAATTAATTCTCCCAAATAAGTCTGACGTTGAATTAATTCTCCCAAATAAGTCTTACGTTGAATTAATTCTCCCAAATAAGTTTTACGTTGAATTAATTCTCCCAAATAAGTTTTACGTTGAATTAATTATCCCAAATAAGTCTACAAACCAAATACAGGTAGCAGATTATAATACAGGCTCAGCCGTCGTTTCGTAAAAAAAAAAAAAGGTATAAAACAAAAATGTAGTAATTTATTTCAATTAACTCGAAATTCTCAGAAAATGAGTAAAAATAGCGTTCACAGAATTGAATTTTTTTTTATATCATTCATCTGAATTGTTTAAATAGAGCATTTTAAAAACAACATTAAGAAGCTATTTGAACCAGCCATGAACCTTACAGTGTTAGAAATTAATACAAATTTAGAATATGCGGCACATTTCCGATAACTCATCAGTGATATGACAGATATCCATATATTTATGAAACATTTATTGAAAACCATCAGGATCAATCATAATATGAGGTTATGCAACGTCAAAACAATTTTTATTTTCAAAAACTACAAATAAACATATAATCTCTAGGTAAATTCTGACTGAAGAACTGCACATTTGGCATCACCGCTGACTACGTGTTTGTTGTAGAATACATTAGAGATACATAAGAAATGGGTAAAGAACCTAACCAATTACTTGATGAAGCAGACATCTGCGATAAATGATGATATTAATCATGTGTTTGGTGAAGCAGACATCTGAGATAAATTATGATACTAACCACTTGTTTGATGTAACAGACATCAAATATACATAATGATATTAATTATGTGTTTGGTGAAACGAACATCTGAGATAAATTATCATACTGACCATGTGTTTGATGTTACAGACATAAAAAAATGATTGAATTAACCACGTGTTCAGTGTAGCAACATGAAATATACATGGCGACAGCGTTAGCATGAGCAACAACAAACTTTATAAGTTTGACTCTTGAGTGCTTTCGCACGTGCCTTTGATTCCTCGTAAAGGAAAGTGTAACGAATTTATTATTATATATTTATTTTAATATCAACGTTTGTTTAGATTAAGTTTATATTTAAAAATATGCATAGCTTA